TGAGTCGTCCCGCATTTCAGAGGGCAACAATAATATTGGGACTAAATCATTATTTTAAAGAAAAAAATATATATTTTACAATGATATTAGTACACTGTCACTGTCGAGCTGTCTTAATAACGTACAGTACTATGTTCGGATGTGATGACATATAAACAAGAGTCCCACTAGGGGCACACCATCAACAACACTCTCAACCATACCCCCACATTCTTTATAGTGCTAGTGTGCTATGCATGCATGACCCACTAGCACTATAGAGAGTGTGGGGGTGTGGTTGGAAGTGTGGTTGAGGGTATGCCCCTAGCATTATTTTATAAACAATTAGGGTATACCCCGTGTTTTGCACGATTTTTATTTTTTTATTTCCGCTTTAATAATTCTGTATTTAAATATAGTTTTTATAAGTGATACATTAATATTTTTTTAAATGCTATAGTATCCCGTCTGAGTTACAATAATTTATTGTACCGTGAATGATGAAAGTCCTCATGTTTGTGCTATAGTAATACCGTTATAATAATTACTGTAGTATGAATAGTAAATATGGTACTCTCCCGTTGTCATAAAGGAATAGATTCTCTTCCCTCATGTTCCTCTTTCGAATGAAAATCCATCTCTACCAAATGTAGTACGTACGATATAGTCCTATGTATCTTTTATATGAAAAATTAATTATGTTAGTTTCAACCAATTTTAAAAATGGGTGTTACCCGCCATTGGATAGCGTTGATGGTTCAGAAGGGCAGCGATAGGACTGGCTAACCATCCCCGGTCCCAGATTCGGGTCTGTCTCCCTCAACACCCACCCCCCCCCCCACCCACCCCCCACCCCCCACCCCCACCCCACCCCCCCACCCACCACCACACACACACACACACCCACCAACACCCACAAAACAAAAAAAGGAAAAAAAAAAAAAAGGTGTGTTACTTTTCTAGTTTTCTGAACGTTAATGACTAGACGATTTAACAATGTTTGCTTCTTTGCTGCACGCAACGCAAATGCTAATAACTTTTTTTTTCCTTTTTTGGGTCCGCCACCCCATATTGGAGATGAAACTAATAATTTATTCTATTATTAATAAGATATTAGTAATAAATCGAAGATCATAATCCTAATTCTGCCAACATTTTTTGGCATTCTATTATTAATCTTTAACGCCGACTTTCATCCGTTTAAGCCGGTAGCTCATGCGTTGCCAAATGCCAGCCAACTATCACCTGTCGTCCGATTCTCCTCGTTCACTGACACGACCTTTGGTCCGAGCCTATTTATTTGGTGCATCATTAATGTAATGAACAAAAAATCATTGCTTTCTCCGAAGGATGATCACATTTTGTTTTATCATTATTGTAATGGACAATGAGTAGTAAATACTTTCTCATCATATTGAGAGAAAAAATTAAGACTGTGTCCGTACAACCGAATTTGTTTGTTGGATAGCAAATCTTAATATTAGTCCAATATATGTTTGAGATGTTATATATAGTTTACAAGAAGTACGAATCAAGTTCGATATTGAAAAGAGCAAGACGGCACAGTTAAGTCTAGAAAAATATCAAGAGAGAAAATCATGTTTGAGCATATGGAAGTGTTTGTATTGTTATCATCAATCCACATAAATAAACGAATCTCAATTCGGAGATGTATATCTTGAGATATGTATGTTTTAGTTAAACAACGTCGAAACAGTCAGCAGCAGGTTCACATACACCGAGGTTGAAACTTGTGTGACCCATAATTTTTGACTTAGTTATCGGAGTGGCTATTATAATAGCATTTTGAAAAGCTTCCGATCTAATTTATAGACCATCGATGGCACTATCAACCATGGATAATGCAAACATTAGAGAAGTTTAGGTCATCAATGGTGAACAGTAACTATCGATGGTTTAGTTCGACCATCAAAGGTTAAGTCTCTGATTTTAGATTTTTGATATGTTTTTGAATTTAATCTCAATCGTTGATTTGTTAGGGCCATGTAGGCTCTTTGCTCATATTTTTATCAGATATATCTGACCTAATTGAGAGAGAAAAAGAAAGAGAAGGAGGGGGTGGGGGTTTTTGTGGGAGCTAGGATTTCAATTTGGCGAAAGAATCTTGCTCAGGCTTCTCAATAAATATCTTCGACGTTATTTTTCATCATTCGATCATCAACATTCAAGGAATGTTGCCCTTGGACTTCATCATCATCGTCGTTCTTCTTAGAGCTTCACTTCAAACATTAAGAGAACAGTTTGCGCAATCAAAAGGCTATAAGATCTTTCTAGATGTGCTTAATTATTATTATTTTTTTGTATAAAACTTATTTTTATGGCGTACTTAAGTCATAGTGAATTGAGGGTTTTATGACATACTCATGCCAGGGCTGAATTGAGGAATTGGTCAGTAGGTAAGGTTAGGGATACTCGGATATGAAGAGGTTAGGTTAGACGACTAGTTTGGAAAAAACTAGGGTTAAGGTCTTGTAACCCTACTGATTTGGCTGTGTTATTCAGAAAACTTTTACATAATGATGAAGCCTCTTCGAGAGAAGGAATAGTGGGTGTAGGATTATTTATCCGAACCACTATAAAATATAATGTGTTCTGGTTGTGATTACTTATGTGATTATTGCATTGCCTATCGTTTCATTATTATTGTTTTATATTCGATGCATATTCTATGGTATCTCGAAAGACGATAGCAACCCTATTCACCCTCTCTCTAGGCTTGCATCTTAGATCCAACATATGTTCCTCCAATTATTTTATTAGAATCACGGTTTATCCTTGAATTAGTAGGTAGTAACTTTGAAATCAATATAAAATTAAGATTCAAGAATCATTATTATTGACTTACTAGAAAGTAACTTTGAAATAGAATGCAGATCTAGAATTGTTAGATACTGTCACCACGCAAAAGTGCATCGCATTTGTCCACTTATATTGTGCATGCCTCATACATCGATCGATAGGTTCTCTGTATGGACAACGATATCATAATAGCAGTTGGTTTTATTATTATTATTATTATTATTATTATTTTATTTTTAACATCAAGTTTAACAGGAAAATCATATCGACGTTAAATGTGGAAACTTTTTTTCCCTCCTTTCAATGGCCAAAAGTTTAATTGTTTTTCGTTTTTTTAATTATTGCCACAAATGGTATCCAATGAATCCACTTGTCCAATTCGTAACTTTGATTGATCTCTTGAATACATACATACACTAATAAGGAATTATAGATTAGGGAATTGTTTTGTGGGGCCCTGTGTCCATATCTGCCACAATCTAACGCCAGCATGTGAACATATAAACTAGAGGTATAAATATTATATAGTTCTTAGTTTCTTCCAACTCTTGATTTGTTAATCTTATATCCTAGATCTTGTTAGATTGTACTTTTGATAATTAAAATTTTTAAAAGACTTCAATATTTTGAAGCTTATCCAACCCGAAATATGTTGGAGATAAGATCACTGGAGAGCGGGATGAAGTTGCGGAAAGGAACAAATTAAACTGTCACATTATGATGCTTTAATAACAAGCAGCAGGAGGGAGCTATAACCCGTCGTGGTTTGACCTTTCATCCACTCGTATCAATTTTAACGGTTTTGAATAAATAGAACTTTTTACATTGCTCGACGGAGGGTCAAACCACGACGGTTTCACCCCAAATTTGGTGTGTTGGAGTTTTAGAATATGTAGATCAAGTTCAACGGAACGGGTCATCCACAATGTAGCTCAATCAAGTGATCATCAATGACTAAGAAAATTAGTGGATGTTCACTTAAGTTGACATAAGTTTCTTTCTCTCTCTCTATATATATATATATATAGAGAGAGAGAGGGAGATTTATATATATATATATAGAGAGAGAGAGAGAGAGAGAGAGATATTTGTGTGTGTGTGTGACCTACTTGGTTTTGATCTAGTAATAGATAATGCAAACACGCATTTGTCTGATTTGAAGGTTGATGCCTGACACTGACTTTAGATTTTAATAGACTTATGGAGTCATGAAGTGGACAGCTATTCGTATGATGATGATCATTTGTCCAAATGAATCATAGTTATAAGTTAAGGGCCTGTTCGTTTGCCTTAAAAAATGGAAAATCAAAGAAATAGAAAACTATTTCTAAGAAAAATGGGTTTTTGAATTGTTTGGTTGGCTAAAAAAAAGAAAATCAAAGAAATGAAGATGAGATGAGATGAGTTGTCATATTATTATTGGATGATGTGAGTGATTTTTTAAGAAAACTAGTTTTGATGTTGTTCGGTTGGCGAAAAAAATAAGGAAATGAATTATAAGAAACCTATTTCCTGTAGTTTCTTGTTTTCTTTTGTTCGGTTCATTCTTAAAAATAAGAAATGAAATGAGATGAGATGAGTTGTCATTGTATTATTGGGTGATGTGAAGAAAGATTAAGAAAAGTGTTTTCATAACTTTTTGGGATGAAAATGAAGAAATGAAATGTTAATGAGATGAGGTGAATTGTTATAATATTTTATTGGATGATATGAGTGATTTGAAATGATGAGAAGATATGAGTTGAGTGATGTTTGGATGAAAATAATATTTTATTAGATGTGATGGATGAGTGGTTAGATAAAAATAATATTTTATTAGATGATGTGGATGAGTTGTTGGATGAAAATAATATTTTATTAGATATTGTGGGTGAGTTTTAGGGATGAAAATGGAAGAAATGGATTATTTTAAAATTTTCACCTTTTTCATTTCCATTTCTTGGTTTTTAGGAAATAAACGAACAGGCCCTAAGTGAAGCACTGATATCTGACAAGTGGTCACTCTCCTACCAATTAAAAAGTGAAAAAGATACAAAATCATTTTGATGACCGAAACAAGTTATTTTTGAGCTCTTAACACTGTTTGGTGTACAGAGAGATAAGCTCTTCAAGTCCGTTTAATAGCGCAATCTAATAATATTCCCATAACAACAAATAATCTATTTTCCTACTGATCAAGATATATAACCTAGGCTAGAGTCTAGGTTAAGTTTGAATCATTTTTTGAAGAATAAATTATGTTCGCAACCTTAATTTACAAACAGATACTGACCTAACAATATAGCCAAAAATGGCGCCGGAAATCATTAAATATTTCTCCCCAACAAAAATCATAAACAATTACAAGCTAATAACACCTAATAAGAATCAGATAACAGAGAAGGAAAATCCTCAGATCAAATAGAAACCTGAATCTAGTATCTGATGCCTTTGGCCACTTCAAAGAAGTGAGCAACATTCTCCTCTGGAGTTCCCACAACAATGCCATGTCCAAGATTCAAAATGTGCTTACTACTACCAGCTTTTTTCACAGTATCAAGAATCCTCTGGGTGATAAATTCTTTGGACCCAAAAAGAACTCCAGGATCGACGTTTCCTTGAACTGCGATATCAGATCCCAGCCTTCGTCGGCCTTCCTCCATATCTACAGTCCAATCCAAGCTAACAACATCAACACCCGTTAAAGGGAGTCTCTCAATTAAGCCCCCTGAACCACTTGCATATAGGATTAATGGCAGATTTGGATGTGTAATTTTGACGGAATCCACTATTTGTTTTAGATATGGGAGGCTGAATTCCTCGAAATCAACAGGGCTGAGCTCTGTTGCCCAGGAATCAAAGATTTGGACTGCCTGAGCTCCGTTATCAGCTTGGTATTTTATGTACTCGGACATGGAGTTTGTGAACTTCTGCAGTAAAGCGTGGAGGACCTACAGGTAGATTGATTCAAGTTAAAAACTTTTATGCAAAAGAAGGAAGACTGGCTTTTTACAACTATTGCTAATATTATTCACATCATTAACGTTCATTCTACTATTAATAATATCTCACGTTGATTCTTTTCACTACTGTTACAATTGTTACCGTTGCTGTCGCTTAATTTTCTTCTAAAGTTCTCAGACTTATAGAGCTTCTAGTCATGAAATTCGACATATATTTGTTAGGACCGAAATTGATAAACCAGATAAACGTTAATTTTTCATTTGCATATCATGAAATCTGAAAGTGAAACAGATTTGAAGGTCAAAACAATAAAGTCTGTAATTCTCAATATAACAACATCCAGCACAGTATCACTATCACCCTGCAGTCAGAATATATGGACCTATGAAGCCACCACAGTTTAAGGCCAAAGTGTGTGTAACACAGTATACCCTGAAGATATAGGGCATATGCAAAAAGCAGCAAGCATAATTATTTAGGTTGAAGAAGGCCAGAATTTTAATTTTTGAGATATGTTTCAACTATGCGTATGTAATACAATAACATTTACCTTTGGTTGAGAAAAAGCCATATTCTTTATCTTTGAAAAGTGCTTTGATGAACCACCTTCAACCACGTAAGATGCCAATGTGAAAGGAGCCCCGACAAATCCTAGAACTGCAGCTTCATTTTTTACCTAGACATGAAAAACGAAGTCGGCAATGCAAAAACTGTAGTACAGAGATAGCTTCAGCACAAGAATTGAAGACCAAAGTACATGAAAACTAAATTAATATGAAAGCAAGAGAGCAGTGCTGGATACTGGTTGATTCTAGGCGTGTTACAATAATGTCTGCATAGGAAGAGATATGTATGTTGCCACTAAGTATAAGATGTCAAATCATGGTTTTAAGAATGGGACAAATAATGAGAGCTGAGACAGAAGGAAAATGAGAAACCATATGTAAATGATGAAACCATCTGTAAATGATGATGCAGATGTACAGAACTGAGTCAACTGACAGTGAAATCATCTAATGCTTTTTCGAGCGGCAAAAACAAACATTACACAGAGAAAATGGAACTTCGATGAATATTTTGCAGTTGGGTAATATACATAAAAGGAACTTCTTCTTCCTTACATATTATGAATATTGTAAAACTCGAGTTTGCTAAAATAATGCTAAAAGAACTGAATAAGCTTAAAAGGAATTGAAAAAGATGAACTTTGTATGGTTACTTGAATGCTCTTAATACTGATAAATGTAAATGAGAATGACAAATTTACCTCTGATCGCAGAATTGCCAATGCCTCCCCTACATATGGAACTGATTCCACAGGATTAAACTCTGTAACTTGATCAACATCAGCAGCTGTCCTTAAAGGGCTGTATATAACTGGGCCTTTTCCTTTTACAATGTCAAATGGTATGTTCATCCCAGGAAGAGGTGTTAGAATGTCAGAAAACAGTATAACCTGCCAGCACAGGGCAAAAGATTTAGAGCTTTAGTCAGTAAAACATGCCGTAAGATTATTAAAATATACAAACTGATCATCATCATAAAAAGAAGTAGAAAATATACAAAAACTTTATGTTCATAGAATTTGATATGCTCGAATAATCTGGAAAACTTGGTTTGCTAAGACACATTTAAAAAAAAAGTATGCAGTCATCCTTACAACCAAAACAAGAAGGAAAAAGAAAAAGGATCATAACTGCCTTGCACGAAGCAGAATGTCAGTAGCCATGAAAATTCAAATACTTAAAATTTAGAAGAGAAAAAAAAACTGTGTCTTTATGGATAAATAATCTCACCCCATCGGGCTTGAAAACTTTCCAAGGCTGCAGCGAGATTTCCACGACGAGATCCACATTTTCTGATCTTTCACGAAAAGAAGGATACTTCTCACATAACGTTTGATAACTCTGTTGAAAAGAAAAAATACAGCTTCTTCAGATGGGCAATCCAGACATGATTTTTTGATATGAAAATAGCAACACAAAGTAATGGCGCAAGAATGTTACAACATATCGAAGGTTCGGAAGTTTTATTTTTTCGAAGGAATTCTCATAAAAGAGTATTCAACTATAGCACAAGCTAAAAAAAAAGGGGAAAGCTCCACAGAAAAACCACCAAATTTGCTTTTCAGTTGCTAGTAATAATTGGGAAAGATGTCTTTCTATGAAATCTTAGAGGCTAGTTCGCATGTCACGAGGACGTGAATGGTAAGCAAGTTTAAGTTTTATTCTCACCTAAACAAGGAGAAATTTTCAAATGTTTCCTATACGGGAGAGAATATGAAGGAAGGTTTGCGATGTAACTTTAGCTAATGTTTTAACCATTAATGTTTATTATTGGGCACCTGCTCTTCCTCATGGAAGTTTAGAGTCTGAAATAACCAGGAATATCCAAAAGGGAGATTAACATTACAACAACGGTAATCAAGGTTTTAAATGTCGGATGTCGGGTTTATGTCGGATGGCTGAAATCCATGTCGGATAGCGAAAATCGGGGATATATCGGGAGACATTGACTAAATATCGGATTGTTATATCAGGTAGTGCGCATATGTATAATATCATGTCCTAAATGTAATCTAAGCATTCATAAATTCAATATAAGCATAATTTATAAATTCTATAGACTAAACATAAAAAAAAGTAAATAATATATGGATTTGGGTTCATAAATTCTTTTTATTGGGTTCATAAAGAAACCCTTAAACATGAGAACGGATTAAACGGGTTTGGGTATTTATCACTAAACCCAAACCCGATAACAAAAAAAAGATCTTAAAAAAAGTACAATATCGGTCGATTTTTCAAAGCTAAAAAATAGGCTAATATGGCCGATATGACCCTGATATTTCCGATTTGGCCCTGAAAACCGACATACGAGTTGAAAACGTCCATGTCGTGTCGGTCAAGTCCTCAAACTGATATGTCGGACAACATGTCGGACATATCGACCGACATTTAAAACCTTAACGGTAATATTCAATAATATTGATAAACTCAATAATGTTTGGCAAGTGAGTACAGAAGGTGAATGCACAGAGTATGTAATCAGAAGATATTCTTTAGTTCCAAAAATATCATGAAAATAACGAAATTGAATCAAGCCAGTCTATGGTAATCTGTAAATAAACCTGCCTTCATGTACCTCCCTGCTTGCCTCATAAGCCAAACTGGAGGTCTTTCCACTTTTTTCCCTTTCACAGCTTCAAGTAAGAGAGGCTCCTCAACACTAACAGCTTTGGGTTCTGCAACTATCTCTGGATAACAGAAGCACCAAAATTAGTTTTTTATACAGTCTGAAAGCAAAAAAGAAGAAAAAAGCATCTGACAAGCTCTACAATTTTTAGTCCACTGATTTTCTAAGATGATCAGTTGCATATATCAAAATATTCTGAGAATGAGTATAAATTGCTCTTGCAGTTTTGATATGAAGAACAGTATCCAGCATACATCTGTCATTTATATACCCAGCATAAATTAACTACAAGATAAATCAGCAAACTTTTAAGGAAAGATTCTCAGCAAGTAATATTTGAGAAAACGAGAAAAAGAAAAGTTGAAAGAGTCTTAGAGTAACAGGCTACTCAACTCCCTGAAGGATTTATTATTCCGACGTCTGTGCAAGGCAACGGTACTTCAAGAAGACTTTTCCTCTCTACTGCAGATACAATAAAAATGTTCTAACTCATTTTTCATTGAATCTTCCGTAGAGAGAATAAGAAAACCTCTCTGAAGACGTTTCAATGTTTCACTTATTTCTTTCTAAACAATGACATCCAATCTTTCATGTACTATTTTCCTTTTTCCGGTTTGTAACGTATTACAGAAAAGGTCAGTTTTGACCGCTAGCAAGGTTTCCGAAGATTGGGCGCTCACTAGGAAATAAAATACCACTTTCTTCTGGAAGAATGCGCGTTCATCAGAATAACTAAGATGCTCCATTAATTTCCTCAACATAAAAGGTTCTTCACAGACTGCAATAAATTTTTTATATACGATCAGAGTCAGGATTGTACGGAAATCTGCACATACCACCAAAATCTAGCCAAAGGATCAAGGTAAGGTCGGGTTCCAAATCTACCATTCTCGACTAACTGAAGGCACAGTGCCATCCTTTTACTTAAAAATTAACATTTTCATAATTCGAAAGCTCAATTATAATTCCAAGGGCACTGACAAACTTATGACGGTTTTTTCCTAGACACCACTTTAAAATAGTGACATTATACATAAACCACCTTCCATTTTCGATTTATACATACCATCTTTCAAGTGAGTTTTTGTTCCAATGATCCACCTTTTGGCCAAGTTTTCGCTAAAAACAAAAAAATAAAAAATAACCTTAACAAAGGCACATCTAAGATACATGATTTTTAACCTATCTAGACATAAACATTAATAAAGTGAGTGTCCAGAATACGAGTTTATAAGGGCATTTTTGGGTTTTGGATGGTAATTTTGGTTGTGAAGTGGTTGATTGGAACAAAAACTAATTTTAAAGGTGGTTTTTATATATAAATTGAAAATGAAAGCTAGTTTCTATATAATGACCCTAATTTTAAGGCGGTTACTGGGGGGAAAACAAATTATGATGATGAAAAAAGAAATCCACGTCTTCTCTTTCAATTTCAGCTCATTATTATTACCTTTTCCCCCCAAGATTCAACCTTGCAATCAGGATTCTGAGTACGAACAAACAATTTAGCTTCTCAATCAAAATATACGCCCAATTATTACAAGAGTTCGCTCACCAGATTAAATTTCAAGCTAATCAATTCAAACTTCACGTAAAATTAAGGGAAAATGCAGGAATTTTTACCTCCCACAGCGCAATGGACCCTGAAAGCCTTGGAATTGGAGCGGGATTTGGATGAAAACCCATTTCTTGGCAAGTTCGTTGACGATGAAAAGGATAAAGGGCAGCAAATGCTCGACATTTTCCCTCGATTTCTTTAAAAAAATTCAATTTATTTTGGAGTTTTTTAGCTCTTGATATTGGAAGCAAACTTTCGTCTGAAACCCAATCCAAAATCTCACTATCTTACGAATGAAGAAGTTCGCTTCTCTTATCTGAATTGTCTCGAAAATTGGCAGTGAATGAGGGGGTAATATCGTCAATTCCTTATTTGACCCGCAGGCTGAAGCGTCTTAAATGGGTAAAGGCCCAAATCGAAAACCAGGAATTTTTTCTAAAAGACCCCTTTTTTTGAAATTTTATTAGCAAAATTAACCCTTGTTCATTTAATTAGCAAAATTGATATCTTTTTGACCATGTTATCATGGCTGACAAAAAGAGATCGATTTTGCAAAATCGAGTCTTTAAAGTTCTGTGTATTTACAGGCCATTAATCACAAGACTACTAGTTCCATTTATACTTAAAGATCTAATTTACCTGTTATTAGTGGACGCTAAATGCACGAGACTAATAGTTCATTGTATTTTAAAAACTATATTATGCAAAATTGATTCTTTTTTTTTTTTTGACGTGGTTAAAACGATGTCGATTTTGCTAACTAAAAAGAAGGGTATTCTGCTAACAAAATTTAAAAACTAGTCTTCTTCTAAAAATTTGTCCATTTGAAAATAATCACCCTAGCCCGCCCCCCAAACCAACCAAAAAAAATCAATAAATATAAAATGTTTCTTTGGTTTGAAAAAAATAAAGAAAGAAATATCTACAATTCTATATGATTAAAGGAACTATTTTTGAACAACATTAGACGAGATTGCATGACACCTTGATTTAAGAGATTAGCTTTTTTAATCTAAGCTCTTCGACCTTTTTTTTCATTTTGACAATTGAAATCTGATACAAATAATACTTGGTAGGTTAAAAAGGATTAGTTTAAGGCAACCTAAGGAAATCATATTGATGTGGTTTATTTCTAGTTAATTTGTAGGGGTTTTTCGTATTAGTCCCCAATGTCTCATGATTTGCTATTAGTGCCCCAAATCTTAATATTTTGAAATTTGCTCCCCCAAATCTTTAAGTCTAGTCCTTCATATCTTCATAATTTGAAATTAGTCTCCCAAATCTTACAAGTGTTTTGAAATTGGTTGTTCTAGTTAACCCTAAGTTAAAAGTTTTAGGAGGCTAATTTCAAAACGCATAGTATGATTTGGGGAACTAATTTCAAAATATAAAGATATGATTTGGGAAACTAAGTTCGAAATGTAAACATTTGGAGGATTCATTTCAAAATAAGGTTTTGGGGACTAATTTATTTGAAGATTTGGAGGACTAATAGCAAAAGAACGAAAATGTAGGGCACTAATCTCAAAAAGAAAACCCGTTCATAGGCTTATAGACGCAAATAAGAGAACATGTCGACGGTAGAATTGAAGGGTGAAAAAACTTGAATCAATTGCCTAAACAAGCAAAAAAATCATTTCCTTTTTCATCCATAACAAAATCAAACAAACCAAACTACTATACAACAAGAACGCAACGCAGAATTAGCAAACAACCAACCCCATATAAAGACAATACAAGATTAATCTCTTTACCCTTCTTCTCTAATAATCATCCACCAGTGACTACTACTAAAGAAACACTTCCACAGTTTCACTTGAGCCTCTCCTTTCTAAGTCTCTCCAATTCTTTAGCCATTTGCCATCGCTCCATCGAGAGACTCGTTTCCCCAAAACTTGCAGAAACCAACTGCGCCATTGTTAACCACCTATTAAAGTAGAAGAGAGTTCTTGAGCCTCTACAGGTTAAAGTTTTCGATCCTGTTAACTTACAGGTTGTATCAAGGCAAAAGTTGCGAACCTGTTGAGATCTGTACCACCCACAGATCGGTCTTCCTTCATAGCTGCAACCATTTCATCCTGCACCATCTAATACAGCATCCGTGTCAATGTTAGGATCTTGATAAAACACGGAAGCTCTCAATTTTTTCTTGATGTAATGGCGTTGGTTGGGTGAGGATAAAACATCCTTGAAACCGATGTGCATGGTCTACTTTGAAGTGTGCTGAGTTCCAAATTTGAACTGATTCTGTACTCTTCCCGAGTGTATACATTTTGAAGGTATCTAATCGAAGGGGAAAAAGAAATCCTATGCAAAGTCCTCTATGGAATATCATATAGGGAGTTCCGCGAGTGACACTTGAAGATAACATGATCGTGATATACACATATCACTAATTTCTATCAGTGCAGTCACTACTATGTACCAGTGCAGTCGTGACTGTACTGATAGTGAACACATTGCCAGAAAGGTCACTGCACTGATATTCTATAGGGGAGCCATCAATAGATTTTCTTTCCCAATTGAAGACTAGGAAGCCTAAGCCTAAGGTTGTCGGGTTAGCTCCTAAACTAGGTGTCCTGTGACAAGGAAAATAGTATGAATGTTAACACAAATCACAAAGTGACTATATATCACCATGTAGACACATTTATGGTTACAGATTGATAATATTTTTACAGTTAAAAAATCATATCCCTTTCATTCATTATGATGGATATATAATAGAAAATTACATCCAGTTAAAAATAGTGTCCCTTCAAATACTGGTTAATATTGCTACCCATGCACGTCTCCCTTAAACGTAAATAAGCCTAGTTCTATGTATGTGTGGGTTAATGATTATTTAGAATAGGGCTACTGCAAAAACACCCAACATGTGCAATGAGTCACATAACTGTTTCCCTGATGTTTCTTCAGAAGGCAAAACAACGACGCATCCTTTCCTTTCAGATAATAGAATAGACTTCACCCGTCTAAAACTATGCTAAGGTTGGATATGTAGCACATTATAGTTAAATGCAATGTGGTAGTTGTGACCAAAAACTTGGTAGAAGTTAAGAGCTGTTTCCCATAGTTTACACTTGGTTACAACGTGGTATTTGTGTGTTTATGTTATTAAATAACTGTGCTTGATGGAGTAAAAGTAATACCTGGAGCATTTCTGGTCCATTAGAGTATGGGAGTGACCTTAAGGTGGCAAGATACCACCTCCAAGCTTGCAGCTGTTCAGTGCTTGGTAGCACTTCAGAAGAGATAGAAGTGGGTCTAAAAGGTAACACGAGATCAGCAGGCAAAATGTTGGATTTTCCTTCGGAAAGGATGAGCATTTGGGCTTCAACAGCCATTTCCAGCTTATAAAACTCAAAATCATATTCCACCTGAGCACAATGGCAATATTAAGCAGATATCAATAATAGTTACTATAGAGTTTTTACTTGATCTAATATGAACCCAAACAGAAATTGTTAAATTCACAGTCCAACTTTGAAGTCGACGAAGTCACATCTTTCTTCATGTTTACAAATCGATTGACGGAGACTGGTTGGAGTTTTTTTTTAAGGACGGGACCGCAAAATCGAGAGCCCCAGCCATACCAAAGATGTTTTTTTTTTGGCAAAACAAAGCGCTTATAGCCCACAACTCCAAAGGTATAATCAGAATGAGAAGGATTGGAGTTATCCACTTTACTAGCCAAAAAACTTTAGTATTAAAACATTAGCAATAACAGAGGACTTTTCCACAGATTCGGATGTCCTCCATCCCAATCTCATGGTCAATTTCTCAGCATAGAGAAACTTCGTAAACTTTTTTAGCTTGATAAGCAGCATCTACACGAACTCGAATAGGTGGCAACATAAAATAAGAAAGGTAACATTGCAAGACACTTGCTAGGATGGTGAAAAGCAACATGAAGTAAGTTTACATGTGAATCTTAGAAAGGCAATAACTCGAGAGATATAGAATTTTAGAAAATCCCCAGGGCTAATTCAAAAAAGAACGTGCCAGCAAAAGCTCAATGCATGGTGGATGCACAAATTGGTAATTTACATACTGACATATGAGTTGGCACTATAGTGAACTTAGATATCCTAAGGAATATGGCTTCTTGCGTCCAGATTTGTGTGCACTTTTTTATTTCTATTATATTAATGCATGTCTTTGTTATTCTATTCTCTTATTTCCTTTTTTTTGGAGGGGGGCATGACTAGGAAATTAAAGTTACCTTTTGCCATTCCATTAAATGCTTTAGCAATCTTGTATTCTCTATGCCATTAGAATTAAGTACACCAGCCTGCAATTGGGTCTCATCGATTGTCAAGTGAGTGCCTTGGGCTAACTGCAGGACTCCACCAACCAACCTGATGCAAAATATACAGATTAAGGACTAGTTGTGGTAAAATATAAAAGTTTAAAAGAAAATAATTCTATATCACTATTATGTTTATTGGTCCCCGTAAGCTATAAGCTCTTCCTAGGAACATGTATTGTACAGTTGATGGATGCAAAACAAGACTTGGGTCTTGCATGAGAATCTTAAACCTGATCACATTTCCACGATGAATTGTGGTTTAGTGGCATGCATAAGTAAAAACACTGCAAACTCATTAAATTTGTAGTTCATAATCTGGTATCCACAATTACTATATGCAAGACCCAAAATGCAATAAAAGAGTATATATATACCTTCCTGTTTGATTGTCTTTCTTAGGTTGAAGTTTTGCAGTGTTAAGATACTCCACACTAAGAGGAATTGCTTGAGAGAAAGGCAAGACCTTCTGGATTGTATCGACAAGTCGATTCCCAAAGATGGATGCACTCTCTCTGGTGAAACTAATCAAGTTTAGAGACAACTTTCCCACAGCAATCCAATCAGATCTAGCCCGGAGCTGGATACGAAAATGAATGAGTACAGCATTTTATAATTAAAAAGTAACTCAATCAAAACTACTTGTTAAAATAACTGCCTTAACTTGAGCAATCAAAAAAGATTTATGTGGACCCATGTCAGTAAGAATGAAGAATAAAAGATCTTGATCCAAGCATTGAACATTTCGCATAACGTCTCAAATTGTACCAAGCTAATTGTGGATGAATAACAAAAATAAAAATTAAAAACTTAAAAAAATCAAGGTACTTGACCAAAGTAAGAGTAATAGATCATTCATCACAAGCATGTTAGAAAGATGGATGTTTGTAACATAGATTCAACCAGATTAGTCATAATTGGAATGTATGCATGCGATGTTAATTTCAAAGGAAAGGGCATCGGGAGAAAGGGGAGGCATGAAAAACTATTTTTCAAAGAAAATATTAAATATTTTAAAGAGATTGGTGAGTACTAAGCAAGGATCTTGAGAAACCTATAGATGAGATGAATTTTTACATATAGGTAAGTACTCAAACTAGGTTTCTGTTAAAAATGAAAATTTTGGTCTGAAGTAAACTTAAATCTGTCTTTGCTAATTTTGTCTAGCAATAAAGTTTTGGTATTGAATTAAGCTAACAAAATATTAAAAGAACATCTCGATATATAAGAAAAGTAATGAATAGGTACATGACACACATGCCAACATGTTATCCGGTATCTGCTGAAAATATAAGGTTTTCAAGAAGAATATATTAGATGAGAGAGGTCATTTGTTGGTTTTACCCAATTTTAACCCTAATCCGCAAACAGCCAAGAATAAAGTCTAATATGGCAAAATTATGTAAGTTGCTGACACACCACACAATTACAATTGTATAATTTTTGTATTTGCCAAGCAGAATTCTCATAAAAGGAATAACGAATTACCTGTGACAGAAGATGCAACAATACACATTGTGCTGCTAAACCATCATTGCCAAGAACTGATGTCAGATGTCCAATAAAGGATTCACGAATCCCCTTAACTATGTTGGGCAGAGGCTGTAATATGCACATAAAGTTACGTTACCAAAAAAGTAAAATAGAACAAATCAAGCATTGCTTCCTGAGCTCTGTTTCAGGTCACATGTAAAAGACTAGTGAAATTTCACCTCGGTAACTTGAGAATTGGACAAAAAATCTCGCATGGACAACTTCCGGGATATCAAGCAATGAACACGTGGCACCTGAATCAACAAAGAGAATCCACTATTATCTCAAAGGTATAATTAAGCAAATAAAAAGAAAGAAAATCCTAAACACTATAGGGAAAGCATATTTAGATAAACATAGCTCCTTTCTTTTGACAAGTATTCTCCTTAATGTTATCTCAAGTATTCTTCAATACTGTTATCTAAAAAGCAAAAAATATATCTATTAAAAATGAACAAAAACAATAAAAATAGGAATAGATAAATATGTTTAGCTTAGAAAATAATCTTCCATCAAACAAAACAACATCGGGAGATTTACTTCTCTCCTTAAATGGTAATTTTATATGTTATGATTGGTGCACTTAGGCATCTAATAAGATCTAAGCATCCAAATGTTATGTGGTTTCCCCATAAAGCAACACCCAATACTATCCACTATCAATTAATGATGAAAACGTCCAATATTGTCTGTTCCTGATTTGATACACGTGCAAGACATTGATCACATTCTGGTAGAAAATAAGATGGTAAAGTTAAAATTTCTCCTGAATTTCTGAATCGTGCTAATATGATAATACAATCAAATTTGCTCAAGCATTTTAGAGTCTTTGAAAGCAACACAGCTCAAGCAGTTTCTTTGTTTCTTTCTTTTTTCTTCTCCCTAGGCCAAGAGTTCAAACAGCTATTAGATATAATTTATCTTTAAAACATATTTTCATTAACCACACAGTCTTTAATTTATACAATACTATCTGAATCCATCAATTAACATGGTCAAGAACATGCAAGAGTCAAATATAGTTAAGGTAAAAGCATTTTAAGTGATGAAAAAGTGTGTGTGTGCTCCCAAGAAATATAGTGGGTGAAATATGCTATAAGAACACGCAATACTTAAAACCAAGACAACACAAAGGTATCCCAACTTGAAAAGGATAGACGAACACTGACCTTACTAGGAGGTAGATGAGCCAAGATATCATCTTCCATGAGGTCATACATTGAATCATCATGAGCATCCTTATGAACAGCAAGCTCAGGATCAAATGTGTAGACTCCTATGAACTCAAATACATCATGGAGTTTTATGTGGCCCTCTGGCATATCATAGACCTGCAATATGCAGTTGGTCACTAAATCCGTAAATGTCGCAGAACAAATTCATGGGTAGATTCTGAAACTAGAACTGATAACCATAAGATAGCTTGAGAAAAGCACTAAACAATTCAACAACCATTAAAAAAAAGAATATAATAACTTACCTTAACTAAACAAGAAAAGGAGGTAGCATCAGAACTTTCGCTCCTTGGAACTGAACTGCAATCTTGATTCATCAGTTCCTCAGATGAATTTGATGACTGACAATAATGCTGACCCTCCTTCTGTAATAGAGAAACATTCATGTCTCAATGATAAAAAAAAAGTAAAACAAGCAACGACCCAAACAGGGATAACATGCTAGTAGCATTACCAAAGAGGTTACTAAGAATATTCATAATTAACACTATTTGGATTGTAAAACCAAAAATCTAACAAGAGGATGATTGATTTGATTGGAGTGAAGATAAAGATATAATTAGATTGGTAATATTTATTTAAGAATGTAATGGAACATTAATGTGGCAGAAAAGGTGAAGATGTGCAGCAACAAACAAAGGGCTAAGAAAGCTTATCACAGGCAAATTCATACCTTCTTCTTGCTGCAAGAATCTGAATCTGTCTGATTATATGAAACCTGCCACACACCGTATGTCATCAGATATATATATAGGTAGAAGTTGTAATAATTATGTAAAAAAAAGGACCCTAAGCAGTACATTTGAGTTCATGCTGTCAAGGCTAGTGTCTCTCTGGCGCTTTTCTGTATGTTGAGATGTACTGCCATTATCTATGTATCTGACATTTTGGTTCACGGAAGGCTCCACCGTCCATGAATTCTGTCCTGGAACCTGGGGCAGTAACATGCAATGTTACCAGTTACGACATAATGTCAATATCCAATTTATTATGAATCACTTGACTAACGAAAACAGAAACTGCAATCACAGACTCAACATTTATATGTAGTTTACATGAATAAATATCAAGGGCTGATATGCCATAGTCTACTGCACACCTTGCAATCTCTTTGGCCTTACAACCATGGCATATCAGAAAATTGTGAAAAGTACAATACCTGGCAATAATAAGCACCGTGACAAGTAATTTTATATAGTAAATGTATATCTTAGTTATATACTTAGACATAAAGTAAGGTTTTAACATAAATGTTATGAAGTTATTGTTTTTCGGTTAAACAGATGAATCAATCACTTGAATTGCGAGAAATTAGGTTACACAAATGGCAAACAATGAATCATTCTCATACTATCACTAGGACATTACAGCCTTAAGAATTGGTTACATAAGGGCATACTTGTTTTCGTAGTAGTATATACAAAGGAAACTAAAGCCAAGACTGAACCTATAAATTCACAGCTTGGGAATTTAAGGGTGGGCATATGCATATTAGGAGAGGGGAGGTAGGGTGTTGTATTTAACACAATAACCACTTGGGCATTGAAAGTTAACATACTGATACTCACAACCGATGGAGCAACGTTATGCACAAAAGTAGAATTTTAATTGCATGAATCTCAATTTTATCAATCCTAAATCAGTAGAATTTGAGGTTTAACAAAATGGATCATGATATGTACTAGAAAATCGTTAGAAATGGAAACATTGGACTAAGCAATGACATTGAGTGTTCTTGTATACAAGAGAAGATAGACAATCCAAGACAACATACGGGAATGCAGTGAAACAATCGACGCTCCCATAGGCGTGATTCACATGCAGAAGGCATTGGATACGAAGCAACATCTGAGAATTTATTTGTTCTCCAAGCCGAACCATCCTTAAGAAAAGAAGACAGCATTCAGTAAATAAGCAATAAACTTAAGAACAAAGAAAAAAATAATTTGCTACTGCAAATGATAAGGGCAAAGATTATACCTTAAAAGCGCCAACATATAATTCATTTCCAAACATATCTTGAACCATTCCTCTGATTCTCACCAGAGTATTGGGCTTTATCCAGCGAAGATTAGACTGATTGAGAATAGGAACCTGATAATAAATAGGGCTGGGATAAGGAGAAATCAAAAGTAAATAATACATACAGTACATCCAAGATTCTAGCAACGCTTTAGTTGTGTCATACTGTAGCGTCATGCTGATAGTAGATGCCTCAATTGGAAGATATAAAAGATGACGATCAAAACAAGATGCAACAATTATTAAAGTTTATACCAAATATAATCTTTTTGCATAAAAGAATTTTCTTTTTGGAAATTAAAAAAATGATGTTAGACTTAAGAAGCTCTCAAGATTTAAACTTTTTTAATTGTTGGATAGAAATGTTGAAGTCCCGCCCTTTATCTCAGAAAGAATGTTGGATACAAAGATGCAAATGTTACCGAAAGCATCAAGCTTCCAGTTGAAATTATTGAAAACTTATTACTTGCAAGAGAAATTTAAATTGTTATTCAACAATCCAGTGAGTATGGGAAAAAAAATGAAAAACAATAAAACCTACTAATGCCTAAACAAGAAGCCAATGTAAAAAAAGAATTTTAAGGATAAAATGCATAATCAGTTCAGAAATCTAGGTATTTGATCCAATATAGGGTTCTATAAGCTGAATCCGTGGTCAATAAGCAAGTACGGCGCAAAAAGAGCGAGTCTTTTAAATAGAGACTTGAACAGACCGAGAGATTTAGCCCTAAGATAGGGAAGAAATTAGGGTCCCGGTTAAATTTACCATTTGATTTGACAAATTACACTAAATGATTTTACGAAGCCCTAGATTGTGAAGGAGCTTAGGGTTTCGACATTTTATTTTTTTCTATTAAGGAAACCGAACAAAGGGCAGTGGTGAAACCCTAGACTGGAAAAGGAAATTAGGGTTAGTACCTGAGAGAGTCCGTTCTGTTCGAAGAGGAAGCTGTTGAAGAGATCGACGGCGCCCCAGTCCTTGCCGTTGTCGCGCGAACGGCGCCGAGAGGGTTCTGCAGGAAGTCGTAAGCGGGGCCCACCATCTTCTCTCTTTCTCTACGATCCTCTCCCCCCCTCTCTCTCTCTATGATTTCGACGAGATCTGATGGGGGGGGTGGGGAGGTAGGGTTAATAGCTGCTGCGTTTCGCGCCAAAATGAGGCGGAGAGGGCTTCACCGATGCCGTTCCCGCCAAATCTGAGGAATGATCTCGATGTTCGTGTGTTTTTTTAGGGATACTGGGCTGGGCTTACTTGAATCATTTGGGCTCACGAAAAGTATGGCCGTCCGGGATACCACAAACGGCCCGCGGGCTTTAGATATTAGCGACAGCAAGAGTCCAGTCCGACAAGGGTTTGAGCATCTCCATTAGCCTACCCAAATATTTCTCCAAAATGGGAATGCAAAATTCATATTCTCTAAATTATTTTTACTTCAATTCCAATAGCTTTCTCATTTTAAAGAATCATGTATTTATTACAATAATAAAAATATTTTACATCTTTGATATGAACTTTAACAATAAATATTTAGACATGAACTTTTTTTTGCCCCCTTATTTTATAGTGTTGAGTCATTTTTTGAGTAGCTGAAGACTTGAAGAACGTGAAACATTTATGATAAAGCTCTCCCCAAAAATTAAAAAAATGTTGCCCGTTTGGGAAAGGCTCCCCTTTTTTTCTCCCCCGTCCCTATTTTGAGGAATGGGATGGGGAATCTGTCGGACAAAAAAAACCCAAAATTCTCTAAAAATGAGAATACCAATAAAATAGAAAAACTGTTGGAGATGCTCTAATACTTTTCTGGGTGTCTAAAAGTTTAAATAATTTCCTATGATTAAATAGTTTATTATACTTTTCTGCAGAGCCGCCAAAGTCCACGGCCTCGTTCTCACCTCCTACGTTCAATGAACGCTAAGTTTTTTCTCCGCTTCATTTATTTATTCATTCTAAGTTCTGCTCATCTATTGGTTAATTGCTATGAAGCTTGTGCTTGATCTCTGTGACGACAAAGGCTGCGTGGGGTCCTCATGCTTGCAAGAAGTCAAATGCATTTCTCGTTTGTTATGAATCAACAGGTCAACGCAATGGGAATGAACAAAAAAGCAAGAGAGAAAATTGATGGAGATTTGAGCAAGTCCATGCATGAGCTCAGCGTGTACTGATTTCATCACGCGCGATGCCATCTGGAGTTTTAGTCACGCGTCTTGAAAAATATACGTACAACTATTGCTCAACTTTTACCAATGCGAAAGTTTGTTCTTTTGAAAGTTATAAACAGGGCGAGGGTTCCCTGATCATGATATATTGATAATAGTAATAATGTATATGATAATAATATATACTAACCATTATATATATATTATAATCATATATACAGTACTACTCGGCCGTAATAAATATATGAGAGAACGGGGAGGTGAGCTGCCCAACGTAGAAAAAAAATTTTCCATAAGCTGCGCAAGTGTAAATGAACTGTGACGGCCCACACGATTGACTAGTAAGGGCTCACATGTATACACTTGCATGCGTAGGAAATTTTCCTACGCTGACAGCTCACCCTCCGTTTCTCCCTCTTCATCTCTCTCTCTTCTCTCCTCATCTCTCTCTCTCTATTACTATATCTAGATTAATAATATATATATATATATATATCATATACTACTGTCTTTGTCATAGGAGGGGATTTCCTCTTTAACGCCTTTAAAATCACATAATTGAGCGACATTGTGGATGATCCGCTCCGTTGAACTTGATCTACATATTCTAAAACCCCAACACACCAAGTTTGGGGTGAATCCGTCGTCTTTTGACCCTCCATCGAACCATGTGAAAAGTTCTATTCATTCAAAACCGTTAAAATTGTCAAACATAACAGTTTCATTGCGGTAGATTTCAACCGTCCGTACAAACGGGCAGGTCTAACTACCCGCGCTCATACACGCGGACACCAACTACCAAACTGAACTAAACTAACCCGGCCCATTTGCTACCGAACACAAATGAGATCCTTCCCAAGCTCGAAGTCAAAAAAAACCTTGTTCTTTTCATACGTACACAAGGCCTCAACATCTTCAAACCTCCTCATTTTCCTCCTTTTTTTTCTCTCTCCCATAAAAGCCACACCCTCTTCAATTCTTCACCCCAAAACCTCTCTCGTTCTCTCTCTAATAAAATTAATGGCGAGCCTAGTTCGTGTCGTCACCTTCCTCCTCCTCCTCCTCCTAGCTGGTGGTGCACGTGCACATACCTCATGGGCCTCTAGGCCCGTAACGGATGACCGTGTGACGCGAGACTCGGCGACGGNGACGGAGACGGAGGAGAGACTCCGGCCACTGTTGCTCAACATGCTTCCACGGGGGAGGAGAGTGCCTCCCTCAGGGCCGAGTAGAGGGATCAACGGAGTTAATGACTAGACAAAATGGCATTTGATATTTTTATTTGCCATTATAAGTTTTTTATTTTTTTTTATTTTTCATTTAGATAGATATATACATATCATACTCGAGAATTGTATGTTTTGTATTTTTTTTTTAAAATCCGACACAAGAACTGAAATGTAATTTTGTGAGAGATACACGGATCAAAGTTTTAACTCTTGGGAGCCGTTCGCATGATTAATTCTGTATTTAATTTAATTATGGGGTTCATGAAGATGCACTGAAAAATCTCAAAAAACTTATTAGGCGAAACAACAATGCTCTGCGTCGTTATCTGTATCGCTATAGAATCAGACGGTAATCATGTTTGCTTTTTTTTCGCCTTGATATTCTGAAATTCTACTACTTTGACAATTTGATATCTCACAGCTTTCGGATTGACATTAATTTAATAATCTGATAAGGGTGGTGCTATAGGGACCTAAAAACATGGGACGTGTGAGGTGTCGGCTCCCTGTCTTATATATGATGCACTGTTCATGAACAGTGCATCATGGGATAGGAAGCCGACACATCACCTGTCTCATGTAGGATCCCATGTTTTTGGGTCCCTAAGGCATTTTTCATCTGATAACCCAGAGTCCTAACTTTTGTTCCTCACTTCTCCCAAACTCGAAACAAAAACCTATAATTTGGTGAGAGAATTTGATATTCTCGAGCAAAACAAAGCTTGAAGGCGTGACAACTCAAGGTATTAAAGTGCAAACAACTCCTTATTTTATCCTTATTTTTTGGGTGTCCAAATGTCCAAATTTGTGGGGACAAGCGATCTGGACGCGGGAACGCCGGTCGGATCCGGCTGCTGTGCAAGTCAAAGTTTTGACTTGATCAAGCTTGCCATCTAAATTTTTATTTTCCAAGTAAATCCCTTTCCATCAACAACCAAAGGTATCGGGCTCTTGCGTTCATTGAGAAAAATGTGTACAGTGATACAGAGGGGAATTCTCGGGGTGCCTTTTTTTTTTTTGTGTGGAGTTGGTGGAGCTAAGCGTCATCTGATTATTTTTTTAAAGGGGAAAATGAGGCCTTAGTTCTTCTTTTATTGACACTGATACCATCAACTTCTTTCATGCCGACAAAATCATTAGATTTGTATAAAACGAAGGGATCCATAGGAAGATATTCTTTATTATTATTATTATTATTATTATTATTATTATTATTTTGCCTGTTGTGTGATAACCCAGCTCGGAATCAAACCAAGACTGTCGAAGTTCTTATTGTAACCTCTCATCCATCCGGATCACCTGCAGTTGGCAAAATAAATAAGTTCTAGCTAAGAAATAATATATGCACGTAGAAATAGAAGAGTCTAATTAATCCACCATGGGTTGTCAATGAAGGAAATTTTTAAACAAACATATTCATAATTTTTTTTCTAAAAATAGACCCCCTTGAGGTTTTTTTTTTTTTACAAAAATCGACTCATTTTGTCTTAATCTGGTTTCTAAATAGTTGGGGTTGCCAACCCCGACTATTTAGTATATAGAATGTTAGGGTTTAGGGTTATAATTAGGGGTTTACAACCTCATAAATAGTATAGTCGGGGTTGGCAACCCCGACTATTTAGGAATCAGATTAAGATAAAATAAGTCTATTTTTGTAAATAAAACTCAAGGGGTTTATTTTTAGGAAAAAAAAATATGAATAAGTTTATTTAGAAAATTTCTTCGGTTGTCAATAATACTTAAGGGGCATATGTTTAGCTTTCATTGTGGCCCAACATCAATCAAATGAACAAGTCCAACAACAACACTCTCAAAGCCCACCAAATAAAACCTCACTCTTTCAAAACCCCTTCAAACCTCCACCCCAAGGGCCAAGGCCCATGACGCCCACTTCCCACTCCGCTCACTGAAAAGGTCCAGCCCGAAAAAAGCCTATAAAAAGCCCATCAGCAGCCCAAGTCTCATTCCCTCCACCTGCAAATTTTCCCACCAGTGAAAGGAGAACTCAGGGGAAATGCAGAGCTCTGCAAAGGTGTAGAGATCATCGGACCCGAAGAAGGAATTTAGGGAGTCGACGAGGGAGGTGATGACATTCTAATTCTTTATGATAGCACTTAATACCCTATATACCAATTAAGGCTACAATTAATTAAACCCTGAACTTAGTAATCCTAGGTCTCCTTATGTTAGTGAACTCAAGATACTCGTCCTCCAAAAGGACAAGTGCGAGGGGATGCGCTTCATGTTGTCACTTAATTGTCGGCGGATTGGTTTGCAGTCTTGTTTGTTAGTGTTAATCACCGTTAACTTTTTTAATCAAAAATTAACTATTGAGTTAGTGTGAACGTTATCCACGATATACTAAGATAGAAGTAAAACATGCTCAACTTGCAAACTGTTGGGAAAATAACTAAGAATTACTACTACGACCGAAATTTAAACGTTCAAGTTGAAAGAAAACTTCTCTCGATTTGTGCTTTTTTTTAAGAGTAGGTTTCTTGAAGAATATATCTCTGTGCAGTAGGTTATCGACAACATACCCTCCAAGATTCAATAATCGTTCGCGGAGTAAACGCGCCCTCGCAGACCCTTGAACAACTCTAGATTGTTCTGGACTCTTTCCAAGTTAATTAGCTCCCTACACATAGCTTTCTCATCTGGCTCAAGAGGTCATGAAAGCAACAACTATATGTTCCTTTACAAAAACACATAGATCTTCACACTAATTAAGTTATAATTAAATTTATGTAGTTGCCCCCTAATGATGATGCACACCTCATAGACTTAATTAATCCACTCAAATGTTGGTGTTAGGAACAAGGGATGAGGCATCCTAACCACCACCTTTATCTTGTATGCTACCTACCCTACCTTCCAATCTTCCATCCATCACCACTTCTTTGTTCTTTCCTTCTTCCTTTCTCCATTATAAATCTCTTCTATTTAACACCCCAAGACCATCATCTTAATCACACTCACATCTCTCTCTCTCTCTCATAATTAATATTATCCAGTAAACCTGATCCACTTGATAACCAGTAATTTCTCCTGCTTAGCTCTTAATTAATACCCCCCAATTTATCTTTATCTTGTTGGATCGATGTGTAACCACAATTTCAAATTATCCACCAACATGCCCAACGCTTTCTCCTACAGCGTCAATCAAGTGAACAAGCCTAACAAACTCCCGAACTCACCAAACAGAACCCGCCCTCTCAAAACTCCTCCGTTTCCATCGTCAAATCTCCACCCCAAGGCCCATGACACCCACTTCCCTCTCTGCTCCCCGAAAAAAGTGCATGAAAAGCCCATTAGCAGCCCAAGACTCTTCAAACGCCACAAAGACGGCGATACGGAGAACTCCGAAGTGTTGCAGGGCTTTGCAATGGTGAAGAGCTCATCGGAGCCGCAAAAGGAGTTCAGGGAGTCCATGATGGAGATGATCAAGGAGAACGGCTTGGTGACGGTGAAGGACCTCGAAGAACTGCTTGAGTGCTACTTGTGTTTGAATTCTAAAGAGTATCATAGTGTAATTGTTGAGGTGTTTGAGGAGATTTGGTTTGATATTAGTACTGAGAGTGTTGAGAGTGTAGGCATGTGGAACAGTTAATGTAATGTTTGGATTCAATCTCTATAACATAGAGATTAGCACTTATTAATTGTAGTTTTTTTTTTTTGTTAACACATGTACTTTGGTGTTCAATAGAGCTTTGTTTCTTAATTATTTTTTTGATTACGAGAAGCAACCAGGAAAGAGCCCAAGACCGTGAAAGCCATGTTAGAACCTCCCAAATCTTAACCATCCGGATCACCCGTGATTCTTAATAAAATCTTGGTACTTGTTAGTAAGAAATTGGGTCTGCAAAAAATCGGGCCCAAATCGTGAGTTAGTATTACCTTTGATAGGGGATGTGAACCAAATTGACTAGAAGGGGAGGTTATTTTTTTGGGTCAATTGTGAACCCCCATTATTATTGCGCAATTACGGATAGACCTCTTGTAGTTCTATTGTAACAGATACACACCTTTTAGTTCTGTTGCATATGGACTCCTAGGTGAATTTTTCACAAGAGGTTTATTTGTCAAAAAAGAGAAAGAAAACAATTCTTGTTCTAAGAGTAAAACAGTCACAAGAATTTGATTAAAGGGGCTTATCTCCAACAATAAAACTGCATGTGGTCTATCCATAATTAGGCGATAGTAAAGTGGTCTGCTCACAAATATTAGTTCGATTATCTTCTCAAAATCATTGCTCTTTTTCCAACTTTCCAATCTGAAACTATACTCATATATGAAATTTGAAACACCAATAGCTAAGAACACCAACGAACACAAAAGAAAAGGGAAAAGGAACGGATGGAATTATAAGGAATAACAACAACAATAAGAAGAAATGCAATCATTTCTATAGAGCAAATGCCTTAGCATTCAACTTTCATGAGGCAGTCAAAGTATGCTGATGGATCAATGAAATCAGGCCCTTATACTTGCACTATTTTCCTAAGGATAAATCACACATAATCCCCAAAAACTTTCAGTTCAAGATCACACTAAGCCCGAAAAATATGTTAGACAACCCCAACATATTTTTGTGTACATTATACTAAACTCCCAATAACTTTCAAAATACCTTTTATGTTGTTTTTTGGTTCGAATTTATGGGGGGTTATCTAGCAAAATGATGAGACTTATTGGAAGTTTTCTATCTGCAATTTTAAAGATTATTAAGGACTTTTCGCGATTTTCAAATTCTTTTGGGGGCTTACTAAAAAATGTTGAGAGTTCTTGTGGTTTATTGTAATTTACCCATTTCCCTAATCAATCAATTAAGGCTAATTTAAACCCCTAAACTTAATGCCTGAAGTTTTCTTCTCTCATATCATAGAATTGTAATAAAATAAAATAAAATAAAAAGATGTGAGAGGATGCGCTTGCCGTCACTTGTCTGCAGATTGGTTAGCAATATTTGTTAGTGCTAATCTCCAATAAGTTTTTCAGCAAAATATTAACTAATAAATTAGTGTAGACCTATCAAATATAAAATTAGAAAAGAAATAAAAACATGCTTAACTTGCAAGCTCGGTTCCTTTTAAATGGGTCGCATTTATGGATAGAATCATTGTCTATCCCTACGCTTATCAAGATATTTTTTTTCACCCCTCCCTCCTTTCAGTTCAATCAATTGGATTAGGTGTCAGCTAGACATAGAGGCAATGGACCCCAGTCCTTTGAGGGTCTTAAAGTAAATTATGCACATGTATTAACAAGGTAATCTTTAGTAATCACTTCAGGGTCCCTTTTTTTTTTACTTTTGAAGAATGTTTGTCAATTAATGGACTTACTTTTTTCCACCTTTTTCTTGCTCAAGTTCTAAATTCACATTGAAAAGTTTTTTTTTTAATAAAATAACTTTGATATTTAATTACAAAAAATGAACCACTCGGGAAAGTTGGTTGATTTTTTTTAAAATAAATCTTCGAAAGTCCAAACCCAAGAGTTGTTTTGGTATTTTTTGTAACTCTTCTTAACTAGATTTGTATTAAAAGTTTCTCTGGCAACTCTTTGGTATGAAAAGATAGTCAAAACTGCATTTAGACCTATTTTTCATCGTCAGTCAAATTTAACGCGCAAAAGTGACACGCGAACTCTCGTGATGTAATTTTAAGGATGTTAGAATGCTGAAATGGTTACTTTTAGATGGTATATAATGATTTTAGATGGCTACGGCAAAGATTACGAGCGAGTAAAACCAATCATAAAATAGTTACATCATCTAAAAACAATCATCTCAGTCTTCCATCAACTCTAAAATTACAGCACGTGAGATCACCTACTACTTACTCGTACAAATTTTGGCTAGCGGCAAAAAAAAATAGGTCTAAGTGTGCTTTTGTTCGACTTTTCATATCAAAAGGTCGCTGAAAAAACTTTTAATACTAAACTGGTTAAGGAGGTTTATAAAAAAATATCAATTTGATAATTTAGCCAAAAACTCTGGTATTTTTAGCATTTAAGAATGAAATAGTTTTCTAGAAGATTGCAACTATAACTACAATTATAGCTTTGTTGGTACCAATTAGCTTCAAGTGTCACAAACATAAAAGTTATTAATTTTAATACGCATTCATTTCTCACGTGGCTCCAGTCCTATGTTTCCTTACACAAAATATACAAAATCAAAAAATTTCCTTCTCAAAAATGTGTTATCTACAAAAATGCTGAAACTTATCAAAAAATTTCTGCAATTTTAAAAGTTATTAAGGGTTTATTGCGATTTTCAAAGTCTTTTGGGGGTTTACCGCAAAATGTTGGAAGTTTTTGTGGGGTTTATTGTAATTTACCCATTTTCCTAATCAATCAATTAAGGCTAATTTAAACCCCTAAACTTAATGTCTGAAGTTTCCTTCTCCCATATCAAAGAATTTGTAATAAAATAAAATAAAATAAAAGATGTCAGAGGATGCGCTTGTCGTCACTTGTCGGCAGATTGGTTTGCAGTCTTTGTTAGTGCTAATCTCCAATAAGTTTTTCAGGAAAATATTAAATATTAATTCAGTGAGGACCTATCAAATATATATAATAATAAAAAAAAGAAACAAAAACATGCTTAGCTTGCAAACTCAATTCCTTTTAAATGGGTCACATTCATGGATAGAATCATTGTTTCTACCAACGCTTATCAAGAAT